CATCCAGTAACCCTGTACCTTGAGTGGCTCTTAGGTCTTTTAACAAGTGTACATTTATTAAAAAAAAATGGATAGTACTTTGAGAAGAGTCTTTTGGTACCTTCTAATATATAATAATTCAATGTCTAATATAACTTTATAGATTTATCAACAACTTTAAGGATAAATATTTCAGAATATGATGTCAGTCAAAAAAGTTTATGCTGCCTTGGGAGGGGGGTGACTTATTTTCTACCCTACAGCCCCTTTTGCATAAACACAGCATCACAAACTTTTTGGCAATTCTGTTGCATCTTCCATGGCAAATATTCCTATGGGTTCCAGTCTTTAGCTCAGGCCTTTCCAGCCAAGATCCACTTTTGGTAAGAAAGACATTCCACTCTGAAAATTTCTTCCTAAGAAACACTACTCTGTGGAACAAACTTCCATTTAGGTGCTTCCCAGAAAACTACAATCTTAAAATCTTCAAGTCTAGGGTCAATAGTTATTTATCCTCCATATCTCCATAATCTTCACTTCCTACTTTTCTTGCATTCATATAACACATTTTATTCAGTAACTTTCTACCATGAGTGGCTTTTGGACTTTGTATTAGGTGAACATTTAGTAAAAAAAATAAATTATTACTATAAATACAGGATAAAACTATATTTTCCTTAAAATGTTGGTTTGTTATTCTTATGAATGGGATTTTTTTTTCAACCACGATGAGCCACTTTGCTCTTACTTGAATTAGAAAAATTTATTTGTTTTTTTTTTTATGGCTTATCAACCATTTGCAGGTTATTTAAAGTCAGAAAATATTTTAGATTGGAAAACTTTTTGGGGGAGATTTTTTACTGATGCAAGTCTTACTAATTAACCCATAGATGGGAGGAGAATAAGTGCATTCATACCTTTCCCAAGGGTATTTGTGCATAACTGAATATACTGAACTTGATTGGAATTGAAACTCGGCTCTCCAACTTTCAATTTTGATCCATTATCCATTACACTACCCACACATCCAAGCTTACAGCACTCGGTATTCCCAAGTGTTAACCTCTATATGTACTGACCAGGCTCAAGACTGCTTAACTTCAGTGATTGTACATGGCCCTTTTACTTCAAGGCTAAATGTCTAGCAGCCACATCAATTGTGTCTCTGACTGGATGTTAGTTTTAAATTGCTACAAACCTTTAATTATTAAGAAAACTTTTAGTAAAAGACTTTTTAATGATATCTAGTAATTAGCAAATAAATAATTATGCCTAATATGAGCAATCAATTATTCTTTATTAATTGGAATTCAGAGAGAAGTATATATCTTTGATGCTCAAATGTCAAATATGGATTTTATGTTGATGTTACTTTATAGACATAATCCCAATGATAGACTTTAAATAGACAAAGAAAATAATTGAAATTCATCATTTGTAGAATGTACAATAATTAAAATATTTTATCCCCAAACCTCTAAATAATAATTTTTTTCTGACAAATTTATCAACAAAGAAATTAGACCAACAATTTAGTTGAGATTAATAATAAATTATGACAAAATGGAAGTACGTTCTTGGCAAATTTCTAAATAAATGTATTTAAAATAAAATTTTATAAAAATTTTGAGAAAATACATGAAATACTAAATTAATTATTCTTATACTATTATGATTGTGCCTATCCCTCCTTTGTTAGTTTGCACTGCCATTATACCATGCCACTACTTCATAAATAACACACTATTCTGTTTTGATAGTGTGGAAAGACAAAAAAATGATCAGAAACACTACTTGGTTCTGGTAAAAAAAAAAAGAAGAAAGATAGAAGTGTTTAATGTCTTCTGCTAATACCTCATAAATAATGGACTATTCCATTTTGATCACATGAAAAGACAAAAGACATCTTTCTAGATCTTTGTACCAACATGGCAACAATGTGTAAATGTCAGTGTCCCATGACATCACCTCTCCTCCTATCTCCTCAAGAGATTATAAGTTAAGTATAGAGATTGTATTATTATATTGTATCTTAAGTTGTTCACTTTTGTTAACATCAGGTGATTGATATATTGGCATTTAACCTAGTCTGACACAAGGCCACAAATATTGGTTGAGATGTAAATTAAGTATATTGGTAATATTCAGGTTGCCTAACTAATTGCTTCATGGTGTGGTACTCCATACCAGTTCAAATATGAATTGTCTAATTTCTGTCATACACAATGACATGGTATGTGAGTAAATGTAATTCAGTCCAGCTGTGGACACCATACAGACATGAATACCTACCAAAACATGTGGAGAGAGTAGGTTTCATCCAATGACCACACCCACTGATGGGACTGATGATAGTGATAATGTTATCTGAAAAGCTGAAAAATTGTCTTATCTTGCAATGTTGATAAAATTGAAAAATTCCTGAATCTAACTGATAACTGAATCAATTTTTCTCTTGAACCTTTTGAAAAAATGTCATTGAAATCCATTGAGAACTTTTGATGATATTAGGTAGACAAACAGACAGACAAACATGGTTGTATATATAACCTCTACTCAATTCCTTTGACAGAAGTAATGAAGAATACCTAAAGTAACTACCTGAAAAATAGAGATGTGAATTCTATACCATTGGACATCTCAAATAGAAAAAATAAAGTTTTACTTACAACAATAAATCCATTGATCATTACAAAAATAGTTATTCCAGTTGATGACATTAATCGTTCCTTCTTTGGACGCTTTCGTCTTCGCCTGGGTTCTTCTTGCCCTGTTGCTGCCCCATGGCTGGTTTCTGGTTTATGATCGTTTTCACCCATTATTTATAATTTATTATTTCTGCAAGAAATAATAAGACCCAGTTTAAAAAAAAATGAAAGATTTCAGAGGTATCATGGGAAATGAAGTTGATTTGCAAAAGACACAGAAATGAATGAAGGTGAAAAAATACAGGAAGAATAGGCAAAAAGCATTTAAAATATTAGAAATTATATAAAAAATTATTGGTTATGAAATTTTAATTATTTTATGCTTTATTATTACAATCAACTATTTTTTTTTTATTTTTGGTTGGTTGCTTAATTTAGTAGAAAAACAATTTTTTATAAATGTCTCAAGAAAGTGTTTTCATTTTTTCATAATTTACTATTAAATTTAACTATTTTTATGATCATTTTTGTTGGTCCTTAGAAGAAATACATTCATTTAGAGATTTGAAAATAAAGAATTTTTATTTTTCCATAATTGGTTATTAATTTCAACTAATTTCTTTGTCTATTTTCTTGGTTGATAAATTTAGAAAAAAAATTTATTATTTAGAGATTTTGGGATAAAATATTTTAAGAAAATTTGATTTGTATGGAAAGGGTATATGAATAATTTATATCATGTATCAAGAATAATGACTTGTACAAGGTCTGATCATAAATTACTGGAACTGTTGTAATAAAAAGAAAACTACAACACATATCAATTTTGCATATAATCTCCTTCAAAATATGAAGCCACACACTTTATCCAGCATCATTTCCATTAATGGAAACATACCTGGAATTGATTTTTTGGGATAGTAAACAGCTGCCTCATTGTATTCTCTTGTTTTTCCTCGACATCTTGAAATGTTGTTTCTTAAATGGGATTTGATTTTTGAAGAGGAAAAAGTTGCAAGGGAGTAAGATCTAGGAAATATGGTGTTTGTCAGACCTGGAAAAAGTTGTACTTGGCCAAAAACTGCTTCACAAGCCATGGTCATTGGTGGAACCTTTGTGGTGTGGTGACATTGCATACTTAACTCTGTTACCCTAGCAACAGTCCCGGTAGTTTTTTGATCAAACCTTGTAGAGAGCAAATTAAGGGGTTAGAACAAAATAGCAATAAAAGTTTTCTCACTAGAATTATGAGACAATTACAGGGTTACTTAGGGTTTATTATTGACAACTGTAACCATAGCAACATATAGCATATGTGCAAAAGGACTCTGTCAGAAATTGAACTTAGCTCATCAGTTCCATTTTTAGGGCTGATAACTATGATTCTACCTACATGGCATTTACCAAACTCATTATGGCCATGAAATAGTTTACTAGATGCTGGAAAAATGTTTGGTTCCTTGTATCACTCTAGAAAGTACCTGACTCTTCCTGCCCTGCTCTATTGTCACAAGAGCCAGATCAGGTCAAAAATGGTATACTGTTGCCATATCTAGGCTAAAGCTGCCTTCTCCTCATTTTCTAATCTTTCAAAAGAGTATACACAGCCTTGTGGGTGATGAGCTATTTTCCACCCTAAAATCCCTTTCCCATAAACAAAATGCTGTAATACTCTTACAAGATCATTTCAGACATCAAGTCTCTCACTAATCTATTGCTTTTATCTTGTCAGTTGTTCTGGTGAGCTACATTCTTGAGTTCGACCAATTCAGACCTTCACAGCTAATTCACAGATAAGATGTCATGTACACTACTGATTCAACTCATCCTCATTTACTTCGTATTTCATTAGTAAGGGACTTACAGACATATCACATAACATTGGCTCTCATACAATTACAGTTAAGCAATGTTGAACTGGGCCAATACCTAGATGGGTGACTGCTTGGGAATATCAGGGTATGTGAGTGATGCAATGGATAACAGTTTGGAATTTGAAATTGGAGTTTCAATTCCAGTCAGTTGAGAGCCATTATTGCCTGTATCCAAAAGGGGGCACAAGAAAGAAAAAAGAAAAAAAGGTCTGTTTGAAGTGGATCATAAAAAATTAAAGTTAGTCCACTGGTATCTTTGTAAAAAGAAGGTTCCACTCAGGCAACTTTTTTCCCAAGAACTAACACCTTTGTAGGACAGACTCCCACATGGTTGCTTCCTGGTGGGTGGTAATATCTTTCTTTAAGTCAAGGATTAATGATTATTCATTCTCTTTATACTTATAATCTTCATTTCCTACCACCTCTCCTTTCATCCATATCACATGCCTCATTCATCATGGCCATTTTGGCAGCAACCCTTTAACTTGAGTTGGCTTATGCTTATATCATGTTGAAACACCAGTTCCTGTATGATCAGCAAAGTTAAGCAATGCTGAAGCTGGTTAGTACCTAGATGAGTGACTGCTTGAGAATACCAGGTGCTATAAACTCGGGTGGTGCAATGGATTGGAACTGTTAATCAGAGATCTGAGTTCCAATTCCAGTTGGGTTCATTATATTCACTAACATACAAAATACCCTTGGGAAAGATATGAATCCACCTCTTCTCCCCAATCTATAGGTTAATTAGTTTTACAATCTAAAAATATTTTCTGGCTTTAAATAATCTGCAAAGGGTTGATAAGCTATAAAAAATGAATGAATGAATCAATCTAACTTGATTGGCTCTCAAGTCTTATATTGGGCATATTTTAATAGAAGAAAGAACACAGAAAAAGCAGAAGTGGGTGGCAAATAGCCTACTTGTAAAGTTTGTGTAAATGGATGGAGGAATATGTACCACAAATAGAAAGGAAAATTGTAAAGAATAAACTAGTGGTGAGAACAACAAAAGATGGAGTGGAGAGTCATATGCCTATACTCTGAAGGGATATGGCAAACAGAAGCAGATATTCCATGGAGGAATGAAGTTTGAAAGATTTTCTCTTGTACCCTATTTTCTGGAATAAAATTTTATTATATACACTTATGTGAGAAAAGACATGGCATAGGTGATGTGCTGTGAATGAATCACTGTAGACTGATGAAATAAAGCAACTGAACATGGCATTAATTTCACAAGTGGTTAAAAGGCCATTAGAGAGATGTTGTACCATGCCATGTTGATAACTGTCCACAAGTCCTTTATATTTGTAGGATCTTGCACCACATCCCATAAGTGCTCGATTGGGTTTTATCAAGTAAAAATGTTGGCCACATCAAGTTTGAGAATGAATCAATTTTGAACAACTTTGGGCCCAATGACATGATGTATTATCCTAGTTGAATAACCCATCAATAAATAAGTCTAAATATGATGAAATAGTGCAGTATAGCAATCACGTGACCAGCAGATGAAGTCCATATCACTTGAAACACAACCGACACAAAGAAATGTATGATGTCTTGTTGATGAGAGTCCTCATGTAGTCTGCCCCACACCCAAACCCTACCATCAGCCCAAAACAACAGGAGCTATGAAACACTGGATTATATACACCATGTTGTGAGTCTCCTAGATTCCAGTTAGTGATGTCACAAGCACAGGTGAGTTACTGTGTCCAGTGTTCATGGTGTTAACAGAGGCAAACTGGTGGGTCTTCTGCTCCCATATTCCATGGAAGCACTCTTCAGACCATAGGTTGCATAGTAGTTTGACTATATATAGATGGTGGTCATTGTTACCAATAATTCTCCAATGACTAGCATATATGAATAGTCAAGTTTGCTCCACATGGATTCAAAAAATGCATTCAAGCATGAAACAGACTGTTGCCATTTGGTGTTGATATATATATGTATATATATCAGGAGTGGCCAAACCATGGCTTTTAAGTCACATGTGGCTCTTTGACCCTTAATATATGGCTTGTGGAAATATGTTGCCTGAGCGCTTTTTTTCATCACAGTTAATATAAAAGGTAAATAAGAAAAATTTGAAGCTTTATAATTATTTACTGGGTATGAATTGAGACCCCATTGGATTAAAACGTAAGTTTAATGTTAATGTGTATCCAACAAAAACACGTGTAAATTTTGTTCATTTCTTCTGGCTTGCAAACATCTGAACTTTATCATATGTGGCTCTTACATTAAGCAAGTTTTTATCTAATATATATATATATATATATATATATATATATATGAAGGAATCAATATATAAATTCTTCTATATCACAACAATTTTAGGAATATCTACAATAAAGTGAAAAATATTTCAGAATCCCCATTTCTTCATATGCATATGTAATCACATCAATGTAAACATCACTTTAGTCTAATGAAATCCTAAAAACACGAAAAACTTTGTTCCAGTTTGTCATGAACATCAATCAGATTTTTTATATTTCTATGAATCCTATATATGTGTGTGTGTGTCTTGTGTAACAATTTCACAGACAGCACAGATACTACACTGATCCTGTACAAGTGGGTGATGAAAAGTTTTCAGTCTGTCCAAGAAGGTATTTAAAAATTTGGATGTTTTGTCAGAATTTAAAAAGTGGGTTAGGTTTAGAACTTTTCAGCATGCCATCATTTTTACCTACTCTCACCATAGTGATAGGATGTGACACATACAAACCATTGACAGGCAGGCATCAGAGTACTCCAACTCTCTCCCTTAGGTACCATAGGGGAGGTGTTGCAGAATGGTTGGAAACCCCAGAGCTAGGCTTCCCTTATTGCTAAACTGTAAATTGCAGAAATATGATGACAGTATACTACACTATATTATGGAAACATGACAGAGAAAAACAACAGATAATAAGCAAATGTAGAGATATGTATGAGAGGGTCCTGAAAAATCCTCAACCTGATCACTTTAAAAAAAATCTGAATAAACATCTTTAATTCCTTCTTGGTTGGGCTGAGAATTTTTCAGCATCTTTTGTACTATACTCTAAACTGAGATAGAGAGCCAGGGAGTAATACTTTGATCCTAGGCAGAAGTCCTAATCCATGTGTAAATAATGCTATCATTTTTTATGGGTACTATGCTAGTATTATTATAAATAAGGCATTGATAAAACTAACAAAAATTTTATGCAATCAAATGTTGCAAGCTAAAAAATTATGAATATATTTATGAAATTCTGAAAAAGATGCATCACACCTAAACAAGATGAGAAAGAGGCATTTGAAATTTCTGAGGCACATAATGAGGAAAGAGGGCTTGGAAAATTAGATACTCATTGAAGGCAAGAGGGATAGAAGAAAGCAGCACATGACCTACATAACAAGCTTGCATAAATGGTTGGCAGAAAAGAGATTGGGATATATAGCAAAAAGATAAAATTTTGTTAAAAACTATAAAAGACAGGAAATTGTGGAGAGCTATGATCACACAAGTCCTAAAGGAAGAAGAAGAAGATGGGGAAATTAGCTATTGACTTATAAGGAAACATAGATTGGCACATTTACCCAGGATCTGTGCATTCTGCTTAGGATCAAAATACAGTACATGTGCATTCTGTTATATACACATTACATTTCATATATGTGGATGAGCAAATATTTTAAAATAAATATTTTTAAATTAAAAATCTAATTCTTTAGCATTTTAAATATAATTTCTAAATAAATATTTTCATTCTTTTTCTTTTTTGTAATTGTAATTATCAAATAATTTTTCCAAACTGGAATTGTTTTAACTATGTATAATACTAAAGCGGCATACTAACTGGTTTGTTTAAACCTTATTACATCAAACATGGCATATTTGGTGCAATAAATAACAGTGCATTTTGTTTTATCACTATTTTTAATATTAATATTATTTAAATGAAACAGATTGTAAGAAAAGCTCTACAAATTAATATATGTTCTCAATTTATAAATATAATAGTTATAACGTTTAAAATTCTAGATTTTTTTTTAAATTAAATAAAAAAGAAATGCTTGTTATATGAATTCAAAGTATCACCTTAATTACACGGTGAATTAAAAAACACACAATAACATTTATGCTTTAGAAAGTATTGCTTTTTGAAGAAATCCATGGAATATGCTTTTATAAATAAAAAAAGCAAGGTAGTATGAAAATAAAAAAAAATTGATTGGCAAAGCCAAATTGTGCCATATTTGATGTTGTCATATAAATTTCATGGGAATATAAGACTCCAATTTCAAGAGGAAATATTTAGAAAATAATTGTTGTCCAGTGTATGAAATATTAATGAAACTATACCCATGTTCCTTATTTGATCCTGTTCAAAACAAGTTTCTTTTCATACATTTATAAAGAAAAACAATACAAATTGAGGAAATTCTAATATTTACAGGAAAAAGCAGTTTTTATATACCACCAAAGATTTAAGAGTGAACAGTAATAAAAACATGTGACTAAAATTTACTGCTGTCAAATATTGTGCAAAAACTAAACAGTTACTTACCTTTGGACTTGTTACTTTTATGTTGCCCTACCAAAATGGCTTCTTTGATATTCACTAATATTTCATCAACTGGACTGGATGAAGTTAGCTTTTACAAACCTTTACTAATGACAAATATAGATTATAAAATTTTCCCATCATCTCCTCTTCTAATCCCAGATTACTGATCTGATGATTAAGTTAATCCAGCTCTAGTTAATCAATCGTCTTCCATCCCTACACTCTCTGGCTTTTGACATTGACAATTAACATACAATGGAATTAAAAGTCCATCACGCAAATGAAATATACAGGTGAGAACTAGAAGGTGCTAAAAAGCAGAACTTGTGAGAAGCTGTGTGGGTGGGGATGAAAAATTTTTGAGAAAGAAAAGTGGGTAAGTAATAATGTCTATTGGTCACTTTCAAAAAGAAAAAAAAGAGGGCATTTTTTTTGTAAAGGTGAAAGACAGAGAAAGAAACCTGCTTGCATTGAAAATGGAAAAGGTTAAAGACAAAGAGAGTGAAAGTCAAAAGAGAAAGATGGATTGAGAGTTAAAGAGGGAGTGTAGAAAATAAAAAGTAAATGAAATGAAGAGAAAGAAGAAGAGCAAGAAAAAGTGAGAGGGAGAAAGAGATAATCTGAGGCACTGAAATAGGGAAAGAGATAAAAATAAAAGGTCAGGTGGAAGAGAGGAAAAGAGAAAAAGGAGACACTGAGAGAAAAAGAAAGAATAACAAGACTTCAACCAAATAAAATAAAAAAAAGAGATAGACTAGACTATCAAATATGGACTGCAGATCTCTCTACATGCAATGTGTTTTCAGGATATAGCCGCTCATTTCTTATATACTCTTTATTTGTTGGTAGAAGCAGTTTTTGGTCACTTCAGGTCATTTCTTTATTTGTTATGAAAGGATCTGACTTTCACTGACACATAGGCTATTAGACATTGCAGTCCAGCACATATGTCATTGGTTCTAATGTTGGTTTTTATCTTTTAATACCTTTGAAGAAAATAACGGATATAGTGCAAGAGAGAAAGAGAAAAACTGATTGAAAAGAGGAAGTGTGAAAGAGAAAGTAAACTAGAGAGACTTTTGAGAAACATAATAAAATAGATAGAGAGGAGGAGAGAGAAAGAAAACAAAAGGGGAGAGTTGAAGGGAAAGAAAACTAGAGAGAATTTTGAGAAAGAGAATGAGAGAGAGAAAGAGAAATTAAATGAAAGAGAATTTTGAGAAAGAAAATATGGTAGAGCAGGATAGAGAGAGAGGAAACAAAATGAGAGAGTTGAAGAAAATGTAAACTAAAGAGAATTTTGAGAAAGAGAATGAGAGAGAGAGAGTGAGAGAGAAAGAAAATGAAAAAAAGGAAGAGAAAGTAAACTAGAAAGGCTTTGGAGAAACATAATAAAAGAAAGAGAGAGAGTGAAAGAAAAAAGAAAACAAAATGAGAAATAGTTGAAGAGAAAATAACCTATTAAATTTTGGGAAAGAGAGAGAGAGAGAGAGAGAAAAAAAAAAAACAAAAAGAGGAAGAGTGAAAGAAAAAGCAACAAAAGACAGGAAATTGTCATGAGGAGGCTTGGTACATAAAAGAGGAAGATTTTTCTCTGAACAATCTTCCAATGCCAGTTATGAAGAAATTAGTAATAACTTGCAGAATAACATTTTGTCTAACATTTGAAAACAAAAAAATTTTACAGTTAAAATAAATTGTTTTATTAATAGGTGTCCAATCCAGAATGTACAAGATCTTCAAAGTGCATAAATCCCTCGATTAGTGCAGCTAATGTATACATTGGTAACTATAAAAAAATCAATTTTCAATTATTATGATTAAACTGAAGAATGTTTTACCACACTAATTATGTATCATGTATGCACTAATCGAATTATGGTACATAAAAATTTTTGCTCACTAATCGAAAATGCATTAAATAAATTTCGCAATAATTGAGGGATGCCTGTATTGTTTATAAATTTATACACTGACCTATTTGATATTATTTGGACAATAAAATTTTGACTAAATAATAATGGATACATTTTTTATTCCACGAGTCAATCTGACAATTGTATTCAATTTTGATGAATCACTATTAATCAATTGTTAGGTCTGCTGCTAGCAAAGATAGTTCACTGTCATGTTTTTTTCTCACCAGAATCTGTCTTGCATCTTTATAAGTCTACTGCTGATCCATGCCTCAAATATTGCTTCTACATCTGCTTTGGTTCTTCTGCTATGTATCTAGAATCCAAAGAAGAATTTGGAATATCATCAGTCCTGACTTGGTATCTCAGCTTCAGTCACTTTCCCACTGCTTTAGAAGTGCTTCCTTGTGCCTTTTCTATAAATATCATGGTAATTGTTCTGGTAAACTTTCCTCTTTGGTACCTTGAAATCACAAATTTATGTGCAGAACTAGATTGGCAACTAGGTCTCATCATTTTACAGACAAAAAGCTTTCTTCTAATAATAAATGGTACAATGCATGAGATGTGTATTGGCGAAATTTTATTGCCTCTAACAGTGAAATGTTGCTAACCACTTGTCAGCGATGAAGTCAGTGAGAGAACTTCTTTCATTTAGTTATGTGCCATACGTGATACACGCTTAGGCAATCATGTATCTTTTGATACATGACTGACAAGGTAGATTTTTCCCACAGTAGGTTGCTATTTCTTTCTGTGGTAGACCAGTTGCCATCCAACACTATAGAACCCAGTATGTCCTGGTATTTACCAATAAGAAGAGAAGAGGAGGATTCATATCTTTCTCAAGGGTATTAGCACGTAAGTAAATGTAATAGATACGACTGGAAAATCAGTCAGTCAGTTATGTGCCATGCATGATACACGCTTAGGTGATCATGTATCTTTCGATACATGACTGACAGGGCAGATTTTTTTCCTGCAGTAGGTTGCTATTTCTTTCTGCGGTAGACCAGTTGCCATACAAGGCTATAGAACCCAGTCTGTCCTGCTATTTACCCATAGCTGGGAGAAGAAGAAGAGGATTCATACCTTTTTCTCGCATGTAAGTGAATGTAATGAATTCAACTGAAATTCAAACTCAGCTCTATGATTCCTCAATCCGAGCTGCTATCCATTACTCCACTATGCCTCCTGAGAACTTCTCTACTGAAACCATTTTAGGCCATATGCTTGCTACCAAGAAAAAAACCTCACTAAAAAATTTTGAAGAGAGGAACTCTTTTTACCAGGAAATTTCGCTTTCTTTGTTGCTGATTAAGCAATCCATGAACAAATGGAAAGATCTCACCATGTTTTCCTTGTTTTCTTGTCGGATGTGTGACCGTGTACTAACCCTTATCTAATCATACTTATTATAAAACCCAGGTTGTGTGTGTGTGTGTGTGTGTGTGTGTGTGTGTGTGTGTCTGTTCGTTTATATATTGGATCGGATTTCCTACACTTTTCAACCAATTTCAACAAAACTTCACAGGACTACGTAAAATTACCTTGCGGTGGTTCTGACAGCACCAAAAATGGGAAAAACAATTGTTTTTGCACAAAATCAATTTGAAAACATGATTAAGAGGCATCGCTACCGTGAGAATGAAAGGGGGACAACTCATATAGAGTTATACTTATTATAAAACCCAGGTTGTTTCTTTGTGCGTGTGTGTGTGTGTGTTCGTTTATATATGGGATCGAATTTCCTGCATTTTTCAACCGATTTCAACAAAACTTCACTTTTTTTTGGCAGGTAGTGTTTCTTATTGTCTTACACACTTTTTCTTTATTTTTACATTCAGAATGCTTTAAAAATTCCATTTACAAGACAATTGTTTATAATAAAATTATATTCAATCGGTAGACTCATAACGATTGAAAACAATGTTTTTGTTTGAGTTTGGGTTTGACCAATTTGTAAAAAAAAAAAAAAAAAAAAAAAAAAACTAATCAAGACATGCGTGTCCGTCAACCTTAAACAATAATCTTTGTCAATTTTTCAGTCTTTATGATGGTTGATATTTGATCTATCTGTTACTGTTACATCCCCGGGCAACGCCGGGCTCTACTGCTAGTATATTATATTTCAGAAGTATAATACATTGTGAATAACCTATGTGACTGTTTATTACTTCAGAGAATTTTCTTTTCTTCTTAATCCTTAATCATGAATTACTCTTCTTTATTCTACTCCCACAATGTTACACTAAGAAGTGATTAAAAAAAAAACAAAGACAATTTCTGTTGATGGTTATTTGATCAAATTTTGGGGAGCAGGTTGGGCTGAGAACTTTTTAGCTCCTTGTGTTGGTCTGTTTTGGGAATAAAGTTATTCTCTGCTACATGACACTGCTAAGCAAATATTCACCCACATTTTGACTCATTGAATACCAAAATGTCATTGTCAATCATAGATATTGATAGAATTTCTATTGAATTTTCCCAATATTTCTGTTTTGAAGTGCCATTTTCAATGAAATAGAATAATCTCATTATGTCTTCCCTGAGGAACTAATCAATTCTCTCATGCTCTCTCTTCAACAGAAAAATTGTTTCCAAATATCCAGGAGGTGGGGGTGGTGGTGATGGTGAAGGTTTTTAATTCTGTCTCTTGGGCAAAGAATAGAATATTACCATTTAGTTTATATTTATTGACAAGGCTTGGCTTTTTATATATCTACAAGTTGTCAGCCCAACCAAGAAGAGATTTCAAAAACAATTCTCGTGCGTAGTCATTGCTCACATTTCAGGTTTTCAGCAGCCACTCACATATACTATTGAAACTCTGAAATTACTTTTAATTAAATGGAGCACAGTAGTGCTATATTTGTAAAAATTCAGTACATCAAATTGCAATAGAAATAGAGTAAAACAAATTAATTGATTAAAATCTGATGAGTGATCATTTGATCATATTTTGGAAGTTTGTGGGTTTGAGAAATTTATATATTGGAAGTTATGTTGAATTTTTAGTGGAGTTATTTCCCTTTTTAACTGCACACTTTTCATTACATGATTTTCTTCTTTTTTTTTCTAAAAACAATTTAGGACTTTGACCAGTACTTGGATTGCTTAATTTATATACAAGTGTTTAGTACTCAAGTTGCTTAGATGGCTTGTTTTGTTTTTGTATGCTTGGGTCAAATAAATGGAAAAGAAAAACATTTCAGTATAACTAAACTAGTAGAATTGGTAGAATATAAAATAATATATTTAGTCACTCTTTTTGTTTATGTTTCTCTTTTATATTTTCTTTTTGTTTTTTTATTTTATTTTTGAGTTGCTGATAGAAGACAGAATGCATGGTTGATAGCAAAAGAATGAGCCTAAAATGCAAATTACAAATCAGAGATGCCAAAATCAAGCAAGTGTTTTAGCAGAGGAAAGTGCAACACTGAAATGTGAAGGTGCATTAGGATAGCCAAAGATGCTTTCCAAAAGCTAAGCAGAGTATTAAGAAATAGAAAAACTTCACTAGAAACACGAAAAAAAGTACTGAACTGTTAATGATATCTGTCTTTCCATACAGGAGTATAAGTGAATTTGATAGACAATCTTCTCAAAAGATGATTTTCAAATTTTGAAGCAACAGAAATCTGGTTCTAAAAGGATGATGAGGATACCATCAACTAAACATGTAAAGAAATGACAATATTTGAAAAAGAAAATAAAAAAAAAAAAAAATTATACTATTGCATCAAAAAGAGACAATTGAAATTTAAAGGCACATAATGAGGAAAATAAGTTTTGGAAAATCTTA